CCAACAGGGCTCCACTTGTGGGTCTGGCGCTTGATGTCACTTAATGGTCTCCTCAGCGTGTTTCCAGTCCACTTCCACTTTTCGACTCATTTTTTCGCCAATTGCTTTTTGTTTGGTTCTTTTTCAGAGTTTCTTGTTGGTAATCCTTTCTAGACATCTGATATTTAGTATGGAGTGAAGGTAGCTGTTGACGAAAGTTTGCTTTTGGTGACGCACCAAGTGTATGAACCATATAAAATAAATGACATGACATTGGTGATTAAATCAGAATCTTTTTCTTTATGATAGGTGGATTAGATTTCCGGATTTATTTCATATTAATCAAAAGTTCTTGTCCTGCAGAACCTCAGGCGCTAAGCAAATAATTAGTGATCCTTCTCCACGCTAGTACGCTTAAGTAGTCTTTCATATGTCGTCCTGCAGATGCTATGATTCAAAGTGTTATACGTGTAAAGAGTGACTGCTTTTATGGTTTTAATGCAAATGAAGTCTTGGAGTGTCTTAAATCCGTGAAATCTACACAGTCCCTTGATCCAAGTAGTGTGTCCACTACCCTCCTTAGGAAATATTGGGACATTTTATGTTATACTCTAACTGGTATTTCAATAAATCCTTTCCCGTTAAGATTGTGCCTGCCACGTGGAAGGATATTAAAATTGTTCCTGTGTCTAAATCACCAAGTGGTTCAATTGCTAAGTCTAGGTCCATTGCCATCACTTCACCCTTTTCAAAATACTGGAAAAACTGTTTTTATCTGACTTTGAACCTTCACTGAAGGCTTTTGATGTCCCTAAACAATTATCTTGTAAACATAGTAGGCGTACTTTGGATGCCACCGCTGTCTTACATCACAGTATTGCCTCTAACTTGAACAGAAATGCCAAATATGTTCTGTGTTCCTTCCTACATCACACATCTGAATTTGACTCAGTGCCTAGGTCTATTTTTTTAGACGAGCTCGCTGTGACACAAACAGGTTGCTGGACTAATAAGTGGTTGCATTCCTAGTTTTCTGATAGGACGTGATACAGTGTTTACAATGTGAAATCCTCCACTGCTTCACATACCATAGCTGGTGTTCCTTAGGGAGCTGTCCTTTCTCCTTTCCTGTCTTCTTTTTTCTTACATGACTTACTTCATTCTGATGAAGACAATTTTTTGAGTATGCCAATGATTTGACTGTTTCTATGCCTATCACTTCTCAGTCACACTGTTGCAAAATGAATAACTTTTTATCAGAATTTAGTCTGTGGTTCCCGTCAAATGATCTTAGGCTAAATCTCTCCAATCGTCAGGTTGTTAATTTCACTTTCAGACACAAGTGCGACTTACACGAACTGGTTAGTTCGCACGGTTCCACCATTATAGATGGCACAGAAGCTGCAATTAAATTGAATGTTAAATACTTTGGATCATGTATTTCCGCTGATCCTTTCGTTTTAGCTTCCGGAAAGATATTTCGGTTGACGTTCTGTTTAAGGAGGTTAAGACAGTCTGGTAGCACTCAGTCTCTACTTTTACAGATTGTTACTTCATGTATTCTACCTGTTCTTCCTTATTACTTCCTAGCCCTTACTCTTTTCTGGGCTAATTAACAAAGATTTTGTTACACTGTGGAGAGCATTATAGGCTGTCATTAGGGCAAGCGGGATGTCACTAAACCAACTCGTTAGTACTATAGACAGATAGACACTAGGACTGATGCAAGAAATTGACGAATATTATCCTGTCGGACTCTGAGCGTCCTCTCTATACACAACTCTCCCCTTGCATCTCATCTGGTGGAACTATAGGAGCAACTTTAAAAGACTGTGTGCTTGGACGACTTAGTATAAAATCTCCACACTACCTTATTTGGAACATATTTTATGTGATGAGAAAAGTTCAAGGCAGGAAAGTATCAAATTACTTCTGAACTCTAAATGAAAGGCCCTATTTATTATTTTTCATTATTATACTGCGTTAAATATTTTCTCTTATCCCAATTTTGTGTTTATATTCATATTGAAAAATATTATCAGTTTAAGTGCCCTGTTTTAATTATTACCCCTGTAATGAGAATATTAGATGCAATACTCTACTACATGGTGAAGATTCCATATTTGTACCAAAAATACTGTTTGGAATAAAGCTGTTATTGTTATATTATTATCTGTCTGGTCTTTCCGATTTTTGCTGGCTTTTGCATTCTCATCTATGTCACTGGTTATTGAAATCATGCCTCCTAAACAGATAAAAGCGAAGGGAGTGACCTCTTTCAAATTACTTCCTTTGATAGGGATTGTGCTTCTCCGTGTTGATGTTGTTGTTGTTTTTGGTCATCTTCATCATCTCCATCTTCTCTATGTTCATCAGCTGAAGTATTTCCTTTTCTGCTTCTTCTGACAGTTTGTTGGTTTTCACTTGTTAATCTGTAAGTTTTTTATTTTTGTTTCGAGTATGGCTTGATTCCACACCTTATTTTCGGTACACGTATGGAATTTCCAGAATGTTATATCGGTAGCCCAAATTTTGCAGGCCGACCATTGATTTCAAATGTGCGTCGGCAGAGGATCGAAACCCGGACCATGTGCATGGCCGACGAGCGTTCTAACCACTGTGCCACCGACGCACATTAAACTCCTGTCTTTACATCAAAGACCCTGCTGAGTTTTCCTATGTGAATCACGTTGACATATGACATTATCATATAGCTGTTGAATATTAGTAATAATAATGATTAGCTTTATTCCCCCCTCCATCCCAAAAAACAGAACTTGTGATGCAGTGTGGAATTCTCAGCATTTAGTACAATATTGTATCTAGTCTACTAAACATTAGCAGAAACATAAATGAAAAAAAATATTATTACAGGGTATACGTGACCAAAATTGATAATTGCAACTTTTTAGTATTAACAATGACAATAAAGACGAAAATGTGTCTTAAAAGTGCAAAATATTGATAATGAGGTTGTGTTGGTGTGATACAGACAGTGTGTTCCATCGGAATGATATCCTGACATATTCCTACGGTTCAATACAGTTCAATAATTGGTTAAAGAATATTAAACTGTATCCATATAAATAGCGCTTTGATCACTTGAAAATATACCTTGGTTTCCTGGTCTTGCCTTCTGTTGTTACATTTGGTGTCACCGCCTGCCGACAAATGGAAAGCCTATGCCGTGTAGTTTTTGAAGAAGAAGACATATGGATCTTCTGGCAGGACTTCGAGAGTGTTGCACAGTTGAGTGGCGTTCAAGATTCGTCAACGATGAGGTTGTCAGTTGAAACGCTGCTGGAAGGCTGGGCGACTGCAGCACATGATATTGTGAGGCGAAACACCGGCGAACATGAGCCACGGTTATGCAAAATGCTTCCAAAGTGGGAAGGATTATACATGGTCACCGTGAGACGGGGTCACGTATATACGATCGAAAATGCAAACAAAGAGGAGCAGGTAAACGTCAGCGAACTCCGGAACTCGATACAGCAAGACAAACTAACAAAGCTACCAGCACAAGACGATCGGACAGAATTAAGCCGAAAGTTTTTGATGGGGGGAAGAGCGTGGTGGTGTGATAGAGACATGGTGTTCCAACGGAATATTATTCTCACATATTCCCATGGTTCAATAAAGCATTAATAATTTTTTAAAATAATTTTTGCTTTATTCCGAAGACAGTACTAATGATACAGCAAGGAATTTTCAGAATTCAGTACAATATTGCAGATAATTTACTCAAAAAAAAGACAAAAAACAAAGTAAAACATAAACATTACATAATAATAGTAACAAAACGTTGTTATAGCAGTTATGTAGCAAACTACTATATGCAATTCGGAGAAAAATATGCATAAGGTATAAAATTATAGTAATAATAGTAATAACAACTAAATTAAGAATAGCAAAGTTATAATCAAACGATAGAAAGGGTGGTACCATAAAATTACAGAAAGATGAACAATGAAAGGGTCGATTCACTTTGCTAATTACATAGTAACTTATATGTTTCACGTCTAACAGAGTCTTCATCACATAAAATAAGGGCTAAATACGGTATTGTAGAATTTCTGTACTTAGTGGTTCGAGCATATAACTTCTTATATTGACTTCTCGTCCTACCTGATGAGATACAAAGGGGTAGTTGTGAATAAAGGGGGTGCAGAGGGTCTGGCAATACGGCCTTTGCCCATTTTGTACAGGAATTTATGTGTCTCTAGACCATAGTATTGGCGAGCTCACGCAGTGGCAAACCACAAACCCTACTCACAGCATTTAATACCCTTCGTAATATGATATAGTCTTTTTTGAGAAGCCCAGGAAAGATTAATGAAGAGAAATAGAGTACAATAGGTAAAATACAAGGGTTTAAAAATTACAGAACTAAAGGTTGGTTGATACCTGATTGTCTTAGTTTTTTAATCAAGAAGGTAAGACGAAACATATTCTTAGAGATTGATAAGATGTGGGATGACCGTGAAAGGTCAGAGGAAAGAACTAAGCCAAGGTATCAGCAAAAGAATACGATACATCTATTTGAACAGAAAATATAAAAATGTATTTACATAAATAGCGCTTTGATCACTTGAAAGTATACCTTTGCTCCCTTGTCTTACCTTTTATTGTTACAAGGTTAATAGCTAAAATCATGAGATTACTGAAATACTGTGACAAATAGTAGGAGATTAAAGAGAAGAGCCAATTAATTTGCTGATTCCCTAGAAAGTTGTAGGTTTCACTCGTAACACTATTTCTGCCATATAGAACGCTGGTCAAATAGGGTATCTTCGAGTTTTCGTGCTTGATTCTATGAGTATATAATCTATTGTAATGACTTCTAGTCATATAGAAATTGATAATTAATTATCCAAATTGTCGTTGATGAATTCACATAATCATTTCTTTCAATTATACACAACAATTAAAACAAACTTTATCTGTTTAACAGAATGAATTTTGCACAGAATGTCACCTACTTCAAGAAACTCCCTTTACCTTTCCATGCCATTCACAAGATGAATAAAAGAGGCATGTCAAAACAGCATTTCACATATCATCCATGTGAAGCGCCAGCGAACAGCGGTGAGACAAAATCAATGAATCTATTTCAATCCGTCGGGAATGCTATTGAGCTGACACTAACTAATAAACCAAATTCTGTACTATTCGGTGAAGATGTTGGTTTCGGTGGAGTATTTCGATGTTCACTTGGACTTCAAGAAAAGTTTGGTTAGTTTAAAAAAATGAGACGTATTCATTCTTTGTCTTATAATCATTAGGCAATTCTCGTGTATTTAATACACCGTTAAGTGAACAAGCAATCATCGGTTTCGGCATTGGTTTAGCAGCTATGGGAACAACAGCGATAGCAGAGATACAATTTGCCGATTATATTTATCCAGCTTTTGATCAAATTTGTAATGAAGCAGCGAAATTTCGTTATCGTTCGGGTAATATGTTTAATTGTGGAGCGTTGACAATAAGAACACCATGCGGTGCTGTTGGACACGGTGGTTTATATCATTCACAAAGTCCCGAGGGGTTTTTTGGTCATATTACAGGTATAAAGGTGAGGTAATGCTATTTATCAGTAATGAACTTGTACAGACTAACATTTATATGACGTTTGATGATAAAGTACTCAAACAATTGTGTTTTACAGTATTATAAGTTGATGAGATTGAAAATTTGCATTGATTGATATATCTAGGACATGTGTAACCCATTCTGATCCATTGCTTCCCTCAGTGAACTATGTTAGCTGACATAGGATTAGTGATGTGTGGATCGATATCTTGTCCAGAAAATGGACCAATCAGAGTTGTCTCATAGGTAGACAGACATATAACTAATGGATTCATCCTTTATAACACCTATGTCATTGGCCAGCGTACACAGTATTCATCACTTCCCTGTGTAAATGTACTCGTCCCGCTAACCCCGTTGTGTGTTCTCAATCAAACAGAGGGTTGAGAAATCAAATAGCCATTTTAAACGTTGGCAGCTGGGAAGCGGTACTTGCGATTACCTTGTCTTTTACTAGCCTGTGAGTCCCTGTCAATTCAACCAAACTCCATGAAGTATAAAAGTGGCAATGGGGATGCTGGATTCTTAGAAGTTGGACGAAATTCTTGATCAACAAATGAAGATTATTAAGTCGCTCACGTACTCTAAAATTCCAGCTTCTGAGTCATCGCACGCTTCTCTAACTTTATCAGCTCCTTCATTTGATGCAATTGCCAGTAGTATCATTGAATATCACAGTAATACCCTGATGCTGATGTGATCGTCGATGCTTGATTCAGGTGCGATGAAGATCACTTCAAAGTGGATTTTTCTGGCCAAGATGATTCATAGAAAGTACGGATTCTTCTTCGAAAGCTGGGTCCCTCTGACCTCGATAAATATTACAACATTTGGAAATGTAAAAATTAGACTAGTAAAGAATTAGGAGTGTTCAGGTTAAACCACAACACCAATCCATGTAGTTTCTGACTGTTTATTTGGGTCACACAAGGAGGTGCAGACTATCTGCCTGTAGTCCTCTTGACATAAAGTACAAATGGCTGAAGATTGTTGGTGAAATGGTCCAAAATAGTTGCATTCTCACTCCTTAAATCTACCAAATCTTCGTTATTCTTTATACCGTTATTCTCTTTCACGTAAATTTTGTGTTATTAAAGTTTCTTCACATTTCTCATATTCTGCTTTATTCTGTACTTTAGGAACTGCTAAACTTTAGTGCAGTACAGTAGTTAGGACACTCGCCAACCATGCACATGGCCAGGGGTTTGATCACCGGCCGATAACACACTCCTTTACTTCGCTAAGCCAGTAATAAGACTGGTAAAGAGGGAAGGTATATATCTTCTAGACTGATTATAATTTGAACACATTATTAAAAACTGAAGGAAATTGTAACTTGTGGAGTTCAGCTTTGCAGCTGTTGTCCAATGAAGGCGATGATTTAGAGCCTGTTAATTTCCTTGATATTTCAATACTGTGAGATGAACAGTCAGTTAAATTCATAATCTGATGAAAATAGCTTAAGCAGAATAAATTGAATTCATTATATTTCATATGGCTTTCATTAACTGTATACAACGTGAGTAATTATCTAAATGATTACTTTGATGAATGTGATAGTTGTTATTGTCATCTTGTCCAACTGTCATTTTGTTTGATAATTGTTTCTTCCTTGTCATTATGCAACCACCTGTACTTAAGTGTCATTATTTCATTATTATTATTAATATCCTCTTGGGTTCCAAGTGGAACATAAGGCTTCATCCTGTTTTCTTCAGTCCTTTACGAATGCCCATATATTTTCATCTCCTACTCAGTCGATCTCCTCTATGACACCTTCGGACGCCTAACTCATTGTTTACCAATAGGGTTCCGGCTATAGGGCATGGCGCATGAAATCACTCAGCAATCTCCTCAGGGTGTATGTCCAGTCCGTCTCCATTTCCTTTTGCGAGTATATACATAGGGGTAATGTAAGACTTGACAGGAAGTAATATTTTACTTTAGCGGGCATAGCTAATTGAAATTTATCAAAAAGGAGGAAGACATTATAACTGTTAAACTCAGTGTGGTGTTATCCTTTCGATACAGTTTTCAATTCATGGAAAATTCCCATTGTAACATATATAAAATCAAAACAAATGATTCAGCGAAGACTCTTTTCAACGAATTTATTATCAAGCTGTACAATCGTATATATATAGCTTTCTCAAGAAATTATATGCTGTGAGGGAACTGATACATAGGTGTGAATACATAAATTAATAATAGTAGTATGAAATGCAATTAAAATGTTTGTGATTATAATCATAGTTAAATGTCAAGTGACAAAACAATTAATGTCATAGATATAAAATAATTCATATGATGTGTTGGAAATGGATGTGCAATTTAGGATTAGTAGGCAAATAGAATAAAAATAAAAACGTTACTGATATGATCCCGCATCAAGTAGTATATCATCGTTTCTCAAACATGGTGTGATTAATTATGCGATCAATCATTTCTCGCAGCTGTGAGGCCTACTTTATTGTTGCAAAGAAAATGTGTTGTTTTCCTAATGGTCTTTGTTGTTGTTGTGATTACAATATACAATCATAGACCAGCCTTTGTCTTTTGATATTTGCATGGCTCAGTGAATCAGAAGGTACCACAGGAGGATAGGCATATTAGGCTGACGCAGACAGAACAAAGTGACTACGGATCTAATCCATTTCAGCAGCAGTTATAACAAATTGGCGACGGGGTTATTTCAGTTCACCGAAGTTATAACAGTTACGTAATAATGTGTGAAATTTGATAACATAGAATTTAACGTTGCAAAACAGAACTGATTTAGAATGACAAGTGGAATGAATGAAATAATACTGGGGACAATTCAAAGTGAGAATAGTATTAGTAACAATTGACGTAATAAAGGAAGAGAATACAAATTGAATAGACAAGACGAAAAATAGGTAGAGCCAAAATGTGATTAGGGATTACCATACTTTAGCATACAGGGATTAAGACCATGAAAGTTGGAGGGGGTTTGAACGAACTTTATACGTTTTTACAGCTTGATAATAAATTCGATGAAAACAGTTTCTTCGCTGAATCACTTGTTTTGATTTTCGATACAGTTTGTGTCATGAATAGACTAGTATTTGCCATTAAGAAATATCAAAAACAAGTGCTTGTACAGACTGACTTAGAGTTTCATCCGACTGACATGTCACATTTTTGGAGTCGTGATAAAATCTTTCACATCAACGTTGTTCTAATTATGGATCATAATCAGCTCCAAAGTTTTTGGAGCTGCGTTCTAGTTTCATATGCATCTGCGACATCAGTACTCTGTGTGGTCCATCACACTGGATATGACAACAGTTACTCAAAGGAGAAGTTGCAGAAATTGAAAACAACATGATTCAAAAGTTACAGGATTTCATAATGAGCTGACATTGGTTAGAGAGCCACTGAAAAACCTACATGGAGTACTGGACAGCTGTTTCGTCAGCCTAGTTTGGGACTCTTCATCAGTACGCACCCACCGGCAGGGCTCAAACCCAGGACATTCTGTTTACAAGGCGAGCCAGCTCGTAGACCATTAAGCCACTGGGACTCAATCCAATGGCCAGACCATGAAATCTAACTTCTGCCAATTCACGACATAGCGCGACCGCTAGCCAATGTCTTCGGTGAGTATTTCTTTTCACACTGCTGCACCCTACTGGTCACGACTTCCTAATACTTGAATATGACTCAGAAGTGTTAAATGACTAAACAGTAACCTGGTCATCAGGAAATCTTATGTTCACAAAATCCTTCCACACGAGATATCATATTTGACAGCTAAACCTGAACAGTTATATGTTGCTTCTTCTTTTCTTCTTGTTGTTCTTCAGTGTTTCTGTTACAGGCCTAAGGTCTGAAGTTAGTCAATGTTTCTAAATCCTTTAAAGTAACTAAACTGTCATGTCTCGGAACAAATAAACGATACTAAGACACTAACATTCCGAAAGAAATGATATTATTAATGCCTAGGAGTTATGTTATATAACTTTTATATCTGTATATATATATATATATAGCATATATTTATTTACTCACTTTACAAGGTTGTATTTCCCCGTGGTCCTGTTCAAGCGAAGGGTTTACTATTATCATGCATAGAAGAAGAAGATCCGTGTATATTTTTTGAACCAAAAATATTATATCGTTCTGCAGTTGAAGAAGTTCCAACTGGTCATTACCTAATACCTCTGGAGACTGCTGAAGTAGTGAGAGAAGGTAAACAATTTTCTTTGGAAACAAAAGACAATTCAACGTGGAGAATTTTTTCTTTATTGACGAAATCATCTTCAAAGGCTGTATGATCGTATTTAAATGTGCCTAAAACATGTGTAGTAGTTCATTATTGAGTGACATAGTTGGTGACAGTATAGTTGAGGTTCTGAAGAATGGTCTATCAAGATCACTGAGAAAAGCCTTCTTCTCAACTGATCTTTGGATTAATTTCTGCAGTCGACAAGTGATCAGTGGATGTGTGAAGGATAAACTACAGCTTTGGGCCGCTTCAATATGGGTGTTCATAAATTCACTTGTTCCTGTGGAGTTAGTTATTTTGGCTGCACAAAGCTAACACTTTCCAAACGCATCTCTAAACATTATCCGTAATGTTTAACAAGGGGACAATTCAAGACAATCGTTAGCTCAATTCTCGAGCATTTGGTGAACTCAGGCCACGCAGGTCCACCACAGACATCTTTTAAGATTATCTACAGGCATATACGGCGTTAGATTTCAGCATTTTTTTGATAAGGCAGAAGCGCTGGTGATTCGTCAATACAACCTTGAACTTTGTATTCAGGAAAAGTTTGTCCAGTCTCTTATTCTACCATGGTTTTAACCTCTTCATTTATCGTTACCTGTAATTTTTTAATTTTTTAATAATTAGTTTGCCTTTATTTCTAATAATTAATTCAATATTATTGCTCTCACATATTCCTTTTGTGTATTTTCTCATCCTCTCCATACTTGATAAATGGACACTCAGTAATAATTTTAAGCTCATTAGATTTCTGATCCTTTCTTTCTTTGCGCCGTTAAGTATTAAGTAACTTAATTTTCGGGCCACTTCTGAATGATTATTTCAATTATGTTACTCACTAATGGACTACTATACGTTTTCGATAAGTAAACATTTAATTGTACAACTTCTGAAGATGATTTCGTCGATGAAGGCAATTTTCTTCCCTGAATTGTCTTTTATTTTCTTCATGACTCACTCAATGGGTATTTTCAAAATTTTTTTAGAGCGAACTCCCATTTTACTTTATATAATCAATATTCATTCTGTAATGAGTTATGCTATTAATAACAGTTTCTATTCCACACAATTTTTTAAAACGTAGTCCAGAATTATCAGCGTTTTCAATCGTGAAATATTTCCACTTAGTGTAGGATGTTCAAGTGAAATATTAACCGATAGTGTATCATGTGTTATTTCATCTGAGGTAGGATCTAATCCTCTACAAATTTTCCTCTACAGATCTGTCGACAGTTGCACAGCACAGCACATTGCAAACTAATTAGAAGTGTGTCAGACTTCGTACAGAGATCCACACACACATAATTAGAAGATTGAAAGAATAAGAATTAGATAGTAGTCTATGCAATTATGTTGGATGCAAATTTAAATGACCCAATGATTTGAGCAGGTTGCCATTACATACTATCCAAAATGTTATTCAGAAAACTGCTCGAACTGATTGGCAGTACACATTCTACAATACAAGAATAATTTCATAACCTTCAGATCCTGTCGATAAAATGCATTAGGTTTGCCTGGTTTGAGGAGGATTAGGAGGATCTAGATTCCGCCCATTGTGATGTGTATCTGATTTCACACAAAATGGAAAATATGCAAATGAAAAGCAACAAGTCGGCAGAAGAATCATCGAATATAGGCCTTCAGGTGAACATAGAGAAAACAAAGGTGATCAAGATTCCTGGGCAACACCACCAACAGCAACAACAACAACAAACAACAATTAGCATAAATGGGAGAAATCTGAAAGAAGCAACCTCCTGCATCTACCTGAGAAACATGGTTTCAACTGCAGGCGAATGGAACCGATGAGGATATCAAAACGAGGATCGGGAAAACGAGGCAAGCTTTCACTACTCTCAAGTCTGTGTGGAGGTCAACAGCACTCAGCATGAAAAATAAGATCCAGATTTTCAACTCCAATGTGAAGTCAGTGCTACTGACTATACGCATCAGAGAATTGGCGCGTCAAGAAGGCCACTTCGAACAAACTACAGACTTTAATCAACAGCTGTCTTCGCTCAATACTACTCAAAAACAGATGGCTGGCCAGAAAAGATCAGCAACAGGGAGGTATCTATGGGAGCAAACCAACCAGGAACCAATTGTGCAATAAATATGCAGGAAGAAATGAAGGTGAATTGGATTGGCCATACTCTAAGAAAACAAACCATGAAGTGACATCACAAGACAAGCCATCGCTCGAGTGGAACCCGAGTGGGAAGTGGCTAATTGGTCGTCAGTGCGAGTGTGACATGGAGTGGAGGAGGTGATGCGAAGAGGAGATGAAAACGTGTGGGCAGACATGGAGCCAGGTGAAAACGTTGGCGGAGAACCGAACGCAATGGAGACGTGCGGCCAAAGCCCCATATTCCTCTAGGAACTAAAGGAAACAATAATAATATTAATATAATAATAACTAGTTTGAAATCTGTTCCAGTCACTATCCGAATTGCCCATACATAGATCTGCTTGCAAATTAACAACCAGGTTGATCTCATAAATCATAATCACAGCTTACAAATTAGTCAAAGATTTTCAAGTATTGGTTTTGTAGGGATTGTTTGTTTGATTGTACGTACCCACCGCCAGGGTTCAAAGCCAGAACCTGCTGGTTACAAGGCAAACTCGCAGACCATTAAGCTCCTGGGACCCGATCCAATGACCCATGAATTCTACTTATGCTGAAGAGTTCCAAACTAGGATGGAGGAAACAGCTGTCCAGTACTCCCTGGTGAATTTTCCAATGGTTCTCTAACTACTGTCAACTCATGATAAAATCCTCCAGCAGTTCAACGATTAACAATGTAAACAGTTGGAAAGATGTTTAGGTCACCTCGATCTGGCTGACTAGGAAATACTACTGGTTGGTGTAACTACTTATGCCAATCAATCAGTAGTATATATTTTTATGCAAATAAATTGACCTAACAAGTATCATTCCTTTACGAATTTATCACGAATTACTCTTTCTTTTAGGAAAAGATGTAACATTCATTGCTTGGGGTACACAAGTACATGTAGCATTAGATGTAGCCAATGAAGCAGCAGAAAAATTGAATATATCCTGTGAAGTTATCGATCTTAGAACAATTTTACCATGGGATGAAGAGACAATTTATCAAGTAAGCTATAATCAAAACCTTAATTGTTTATTGCATCTATTAAATTACTTATTCACATGTAGTTCATTAAGTTATATATATCCAAACCAAGTTCACTATTAACAGTTTGAAAAAATTTGGGCATTGGGTATATGTGATATTCATTATAATAAAGGTGTTTTTTTGTATTTCCCAATGAATGAAAAACAAAACGATATTTTTTGGTTGACTGACGTCTCGCTATTTAGTGCTAATGGTTTTATCGAAGTATTATTATAAACCAGAATTTACAAAATCCACTCAGCTTATATATGAAAACTTAATCATCGTCCTTCAGCATTGAAATTCGTCAACAAAATCAACACTGACATTAAGTATGGTCGAAAATGTATTCCGAAAACATGGACCTCAACAGTTGTGATTCTATGTAGATCAGAGATGTCAGGCGATATTATCAGAAGAGTTCTCAATAAGCACGACATCAGAGTTTTCTTGGAAACATCAGACACACTGCGAAACGACCTTATCCATATAAAAGAACAAATTTCTAATGATTCTCTATCTAATTGTGTCTACAAAATAAAGTGCTTGGAAGGTGATGTGATATACATCGGACAAACATCGCCAGAAAGGAATCAAAATCAGAAGAAATGAGCACCGTAGAGCCGCCTCTGTTCGACCACTGAGAAATCCATTTGAACTAGAAAAGCTTGAAGAGTCATCAGCCATAGGTGGTATACACACTATAGAATCAGGCCACAAAATTGATTTTGACAATACTGAAAGAATCCAGGGAACAATCCAGAAATCACAAAACACGTCTGATATCATCAGAAGCACTTCACATCAAATGGAATCCAAATTGTCTGAACTGAATAGGAATGATGGACTAAAACAGAATTTGACCTGGGTACAACACCCCTCCCCTTCCCCCATGAAATGAAAAAATCAACACGAATGTGATAAGCAGTTTCGTTATGTAAACACACGCTGCTTTTATAACTTTCTACACTTATCGAGTCCAGCAATTTACACCTGGTTTTGTTATCTTTACCAATTGGCCAACTTGACGGCAACATAAAAATTACCTCACATTGCAGAAGAATGATAAAGTGACTGTATATAAGCTGAGTGGATTTTGTAAATTCTGGTTTAATAATACTTTGATAAAGCTATTAGCGCTAAATAGCGAAACGTCAGTTTTTCATTCAAAAAACCTTCATTATAATGTAGTTCATCAGTTTAAAAAGTGAATTCTTAACCACTGAATGAGTCACTGATTCAAATCCAGCTCCATCTATTGCAGTTTTAACGATTATTTATCCTTAGTTTCATTATTTTATTTATTTGCATCTAGAGTAGAATATAGAGCTTCAAGTTAGAGCAATAAATTTTAGGTAGCGCCGATTTTATTTTTACGCGGTGAAGTTGCTACCCTAACACTCAACCTTACATCCTTACCAGCCTTACTACCGGCTTAGAAAGGTTTTAGGAGTGCGTCGTCGGCCGGGAATCTAACTCCGGTCCTTTGGCGTGGTTAGTGAGAGTTCTACCGTTGAACCACCGATGCACATCTAAGCCATTAGCTTATACGACCAGCCTTCAAATGATAAGTGAATATGGCTTATAGCTTGATACATAGGGGATTTTCTTCCACGTAACTAACGTCTAAATATAACTAGTTAATTAGAATATCGTAAGCAGGATTTTTAGAACAAACTTAATGATTTTTGCATAACTAGTTCAATAAAATGAATGACTTTTAAAAGTTATGAATTCTATTTAGTCATACTGAAATAGTCAGGGGTTGATCGTTAATCACTCATACACTGGTAAATATTTTTTTAGTTCATGTAGTTAGTTTCTTAAAATGACATTATTTATACAGTTGGAATTTTGATGAGTATACAGCTAAGGTGTACCGTATCATCTATTAATCATGAAAACTAATAACTACAGCTTTAATCGACCAAGTTCACCAGTTCAGGCAGAAGACAGTTACTCGTCCCTGACACTAGCTGCTGGTTGCGTTAAATATATATCACAAAATGACAGAGGCTATAATTGATGGACCATTGGGTAGGGTCTCTTTGGCTAAATGTTCTACGATTTTTCCATGTAACCGGAAGGTCCTAGGTTCAAACCACACTGGGTGCGTACAGATGAAGGGTCCCGAACTAAGACGAAGCAACTATCCAGTACTCCCAGGTTTGCTAGTGTTTCTCTAACTGATACCAACTGGTGATCAGGCCTGTAACCGATCAAACCAACGCTTGACGATTCACTCGATTAGTTGGTAAACAGTCTGAGGTATTAACAGTGGGTTAAAGACGTGTAATGGTCGTCAGTTGACACAGTTTAACTTGATGTTTAACGAGAATGTTACTAATGAAGACGTTAAATGTATGAAAGTTTATCTGGTTCCAAGTTGGTTTTCGTCACAAACCGACATCATCTAAGGAACTATTGAAACCAGGTAGCATTAGATAGCCGTTTGGGACAAGAATTAAACTTCATAGCTATGCAATGATAAACTGACTTATGACTTGGACGTTCTGGATTCGACTTCCAATAAGGATACAGATAGGCCCTGTGGATGAATTCCAAACTACAATGAAGCAGTTGCCTAATTCTTCCAAGTTTTCAATGCTTCTCATAATTGTATAGTTTCGCCGCAAAGTTTACCTTCATTTTCTATTGATTCAAACGATAGACACACAAAATGTGGAGGTCATTCATGTAGAGATACAGGTCATATCTACAAATTGCCAGCTTTAAAACAGCTAATGTATAATTGTATTTTTACCTAAGAAAGGAGTTACTTTGCTCGTTTTACTAACAGTTATGAAATATACTAGTCGATTTGTGAATATTATGAGAAAATTGTAGACAATTAACCAAGAATGTTCTTTAATAACTATTTAATTGATGTAAAGCCAAGAACCAAGATAACCTACAAATGATTTCAGGTTACTTCTACAGATTGTAAGTTTCAAATTACTGACTACTAAAGAATGACTTAAAAAAGAATTGAGACAACCAAATCAAAGCATAGAAGCAGTCCATGAAATTATTAATTATTGACTAAACTACAATCGTTAGATTTTTGTCACGAACCAGCATCAGTTAGAGAAATTAGTGACATCTAGGGAGTGCTAGATAGGCCGTTTCATCCAATTCTGCGACTCTTCATCAGTGTACATCCAATGACCCTATCAAGGATCGAACTCGGGACCTTCAGATCACGAGATCAAGCTTTTTTGACCATTCAGCTACTTTGACTGGAATTCATTGATCGGTGAATTCTAACTTTTTCAACTCATGATATAGTGCTGTCCTCACTAATCCCCTTGTTAAGCAACCACTTCAGCCTGACATGGTGAACTCTATTGGTCATGACTACGACATGCATCTTCAGGAAATCCATCTAGTAGCTACCAATGAGGTAGTGATCATAGAATTTGTGGGAATTTCAATGTTGGTTTGTGACGAAAATCTAAGAGTTTTAATCAGTTCAAAAATACCACAAATCGTTTAGTTTGAATACCAGTTGACTAGCTCACTGATGGCTACCTGACAGATTTCCTGAAAATGAAGTTGGAAGTCATAACCATCACGGTCCACTATATCAGACTGGCAGAGTAAGAATTCATAAGTCATTGAATTCCAGCCCAGGTGACTGAATTGTCAGTGAGCTTAGTCTAGTGTTCTGTAGGTCCCAAGTTTAATCCGTGATAGGGTCGTGGGTGTGCAATGATGAAGAGTTGTGTAATTGGACGAAACAGCTGTCTATGACTCCCAAGTTTTCTGGTTCTTGACTAAAATCTAACAATTGTAATTAGTCCAAAGTCTCTACAAATCCTGTATTCTGAATACTGAGTAAGCACATTTGCACTGAGTTATAATTCTAAAATCTCTGAAGCATATAACATCTCACAAAACGATTCTCTCTGTCTGTCTACATGTTTCTTCAATGATAATTCTGCTTGGTCAATGACTTCTTCATTACGGAATTTTATTAGCTAAATCTTTTCACTCATAGAATACAACATTCATATGAAGGTAGCATTTTGTCCTGATTCGAGCAGTAATTTTTCTGAACATCAATTTTATCTTCATTCAAAATGTTATCATTAGTAATGCATCCAAATAAAGTAAACAGAAAAGAAGAAAAAAACGAATGCATAAACCAGTTCATGCCCCACCTACATCCTTCTATACAGAAACTGTACTCTGCACTCAATCACAGGGTTTATTTATCAGTGAACTAACCATAATATCATAACACGTACAAAATTTTACTAGTAAGCAGATGCAATATACTATGATCAGCAAAAATGATCAAATTTTCCTGCAATGCAATGCATCAGATATACATAGTTAAGTTATTCAATCGGTGTATAAGCATTGGAGACAAATCCCTTTGTGATACTTCCATTATAGATAAAATTCTATTTGATAAAGTCACACATTTTTACATAGCAATGTTTACTGATGACCACGTTTCGACCACAATTTGTCACTGCTAACAGTCATATCAAGGTACTTACATAACTTTCAGACTTCACTTATATAATTCCATTATTTTTCATCTCTTGTCTTGATTGGTAGTAGTATTTTCCATTTTTCTGGTATAGGTGGTGACTGATTCCTATTGCATGTGTTGGGTGTAGATTCGATAAACAAGGATTCAGTAATCAACCTCTCTCGCTCTTCACCTACATATATTACTGCTTAGAATTTTAACCCTCTCCCACTCACCATGCTATTGTGTGCTTGTGTGTTAATGCATGCAATGCAGTCACTGAGCTTTTTTTAAATTACTTATCTTCTCGGGGTCAACTCAGCCATTCTTACCTTAGCTAAATTCTAATGTTCTCATAGACAATCTGACTACCCCTGACCTACTAGTTTGACCTATATAGTTGAATTAACTCATAGTCATTGCAGGGTATTTTGTAAATTGCATCATTTTGTTTAAATGAGTCCAGTGGGTCCTCTAACTTACAGAGTTTGTCGCTGCCTGAGTGAGTTTGTAGGTTTAAATGCCTCCCTAATTCCTGCTTTATTGAGAATCCTAAGTAGGGAGGGTCTCAGATGTCCCAAGAAGATCAGTAGTATAGAAAAAAATCAGCAATCGCACTGCTTGCACTAACACACCACCACACAATAAGATGGGACAGAGTCAAAACTCTGAAAAGTGGCATAGGTAGGTGGAAAGAGAGTTTGATTACTGAATCCTGCTTCATTGAGTCTGCACCCAACATATCTAACAGAAGTAGCTCAATGCAAATACCAGAGATATGGAAGATATTATTACCAGTTAAATCAGAAGATTATGAGTAATGTTAACATGTATTCAATTGACATTATAGCAGTCTAACAAGTTATTTATTTTTACTGTAAAAAGCATCTTATTTCCCATCTGATTGTATTTTATTGATAACACTAATATTATTTTCGAAAATATTTTATCTTATACTGATTTTATTCAAATGTCTAATCAGTTTTACTCATGTATATAAATGAAGCAAGAAAATTGTGTGACAGTACCTTGATATGATTATGAGCGGGAATAAATTGTGCTCGAAACGTCATCATTTTAACAATGTGTGACTTTGCCAAAACGAAATTTTATCCATAATGGAATAATTCTCTAACTCAGTCCCCAAGTTTTATCTTTATATGCCATTGTGATAACCACGATGAATCCTTGTTAATAATGCCGTATCTATGATTCGATAGTTCATGGTTATACGAAGACTAAGACTCAGGAAACTACACAGGTTTCACGTATGATCGAAGGTTTATTGATCAAGCGAACACCCTTTGACAGGTTCTGAAACAGATATCAGCGTCTACCATTTGACAGTTTTGTTCATTTAAGAGTAGCATTCTGTTTCAATAAGTAACTGTGAAATAAATGCTGAGAAATTATGTAATTCCTAACCAAGTTATTCCACTCTGAAGTATGCATGCAGTTCCCTTTTTGTCAAATATACTATGACTCCACAAGATTTATCTCCAGGGAATCCTAGTTTGAGGATATGCAGTGAAATGACTGAATGTGTTGATCTCCACTCATTTGGAGAATTGCACTATATAATATAATGCACTAGGTGATGAAGTGATCGCAGCACAGACATAGGATACAAATGTCGTCAACCTTGTCACTTCTAAAGTGAGCACTTTGATATAGCTAATCTGTGTGACTTCAAAACAAGAAGTGCTAGGTCTGCATTTCATCGGAAGTAATATAAATGCATGTGATGAGTCTCACGATTTGTTCACAAGTCATTGTCGAACCAATAACTATGATTACTTTTATTTTGTAGTTGGTTCAGTCAGTTAAATGTTTGAACTGAAATGCTCTTGTTTATTTGGTTTAAATGAATAGATCTGAGAGGCACATTTTCATGTTGTATAATCAAACCCCGAAAATTCTTCTTGTTTATTGTGTTTTCCTATCCTGTTTAACATGAATCTTTGTTTTTATGAAAAAAACACAGTCAGTGCGTAAGACAGGTCGTTGTGTAATAACGCATGAAGCTCCATTGACTTGCGGCTTTGGCGCTGAATTAGCTGCTTCTATACAGGTAATTAATTAATAAATTAATTCATTATGTATTGAGTTTTTATACTATTTTAAATGTTAGAATTCTTTGTAAGTAGTTAAAAGAAGTTTCGCTACGATTCCTGGTCTGTGCACTGTTAAAGCTTACTTGATTCACTAGCCGATTGTAAGCGTAGGAATGTGGGAAGGCTGTGTGTGAGGCTAATGACCTCACAGCTATGTAACTTCAAAGTTAAAGCCCTAGGGTACACTTGTAACATAAAAGAATGAAACATAGTTATAAGGAGTAACTAGATTTAGTGGTTAACTTTGTTATGAGTTGGGTTAGTTAGATTTTCAAGTAGCGGTTTGTAAAGTTCCGACTAGTCTCAATGTAGTTCCATAACTATGAGGAGGCACAGCAGTTTGGACCCTCGTCGACCATGCACATGGTCCGGGGTTCGATCCCCTGCCGACGCACACCTGATACCAATGGTTAGCTTGCAAATTTGGGCTACCGATATCGCATGCTGAAAATTCCATACTTGTACCGAAAATACAGTGTGGAATCAAGCTATAATCAGAACAAATTCATTGTACTGCCTGATTTCCAGTGCTTCTTCAAATGATGTCAGTCCGTGTTAATTTGATTTCTCTACACATTAAAAATGGTTCATATCCCGTGTGTATAACAGACTCGATGGAATTGTTTAAAGGATCATACTGATAAACAGATCTTAGAATTGAAGAGCTAGCAAACAGGTAGATTTATTATATTTCATATTTTTATGTCAAATAAGTGAAGTTTTCGAGAATATTTCTCCTAAACTTTAGTGGTTAATGTCACACTTGTAATGTCTGGTTGAAGTCCTGGGAATACTAAGAATCACTAGCGCGAAACTATTGGTGATATGGCTCAAAATAGATATCATTGCCACAGATGCATCCACTTTTTGTAATCTCAATCATCCACTAAGCTCTCATGTTATTCCGTGTGATCATTTCTCACGTAAATTTCTGCTCATTTGAGTTCTTTTGAATTTTTCCTCTGTGTACTACGTGGATTATGGCAATGTGAACTGCTGTACTTCTGTGACTTTTATGTGATTACAAACTTTCATTTCACTAACTTTTGATTACACTAGATACCGCTGCCTCCAGCATCATAAATCTGTGTTTAAAGATTAATACAGGATAAGTTGTATTTTTCACTAAACATTTTTCCTATTCCATCAGTTCCTACAATATCAGTAGTGATGAAGGTCTACTTCGCCCCTCCGATTCTGACTGGTTTTGACATCCTCATGCGTGCTGTCACCTGTAGTTGAATCAATACTTCCTAGATAAGTGAACGAAGGAAATGACCTCTTTGACATTTATTCCATCGATAGTGATTGGTGCTGTTTGTTCCTTCTGTTGGCTGGTTAACTTCATCACCTCCGTCTTTTTCATGTTCACCTGAAGTCCCGTCTTTGCTGCCCGCCTCCTCTACCAGTTTGTTGGTTTTCACCACGAATCCAGATATTCTAAAGTTTTCTTATCTGTCCAGAGTGTTTTTGTATTCTACCAACCCATATTCTTCCTCATAGTCCAGTCTACCACAGTTAAGAACATCCCTGGTTACAATAGGCAGCCCTGTCTTACTTCCCTATTCACTTCAGATGCCCAGCTGAGTTTTTCATTTTGAATCACCTGACATATAACACTATTATATAGCTGTTAAATGAAGTTGATAAAGATTTGGAAGACTACACCCTGTAGTGTTGAAATAATTTCCAAATTACTTGGCATTCAACGCTGTCGAATGCCTTTTCGAAGTCGATGGAACTGAGCTGCAGGTTTGACTACCATTCTATACTCTTCTCGATGATGCGTAGATTTCCGATTTGATTCGTACATGATTTGCTTCTCCTGAATCCACCTTGTTCCGGGACGGAAGAATTGTGTATCCAGTGCAACTTTTATTCTCTCTAGGACAATTAAAGTTCATAACTTTAGTACAATTTTTCACATACTTTATTTCATAGAAGAAACAAAGTGCTATAAAGTTTAACATTGAGAGGGAGTAAGTATAACTTTGAGCAGTGAGATCACTCAACGTTTGATTGACACTAAGTATCAGCTGAACAGTTTAAATTCTTTGGAGATAATTAATAAATAAGCAACCTCAAACCTTTCAACCTTTCATACAGACTATTACTTACAAGTGACTAGAGCCTAACTTTTGCGTTCAAAAAGAAGGCGTAGTAAGTCCCTCACTACCTGGGTAAACTGTTTCATGACCTTTAACTGATCAAATCATATTTTACTACAGGATACGTTATCCCTTATTAAAATCTGCACTTCATGTATCCTACATGTATATATATTGCTTAATTTGTATATGGACGACTTCTAATAACTCTCGTGGTCTCATAATTTGTACCTCTCAGTATTTAGTTATTACGCTTGAATTTGACTGCACTACTTATATAAAGTTGAGGCAATTCGTTGTATATTATCAACTTAACACTTAATTCAACTATATACTATGACTATTCTTTACTTTTGCCTAATATTTTATTTCTCCAGTAAACATTCAGTGTCTAGTTGATTGGTGGATGGTGACTGGCAGTGGAATCCAGGATAAGGCGCATTTCATCCTACTTGGGACTCGTCACTGGATATACCTGCTTTACTCAGTGCGTCATAATGTTACCACTGAGGCTCAAACGCCAAAGCGTTATCCACTAGACCGCCTGGGCCGTGAGAGCCACCTCTTGTGCAGTCACATCCAGCTAACGAGTCCCAAATAGGGCAAAGCACGCACCTCGGATTCTACTGCTAGTCACCATCCATCAATTAACTTCTTATTACATACCCAGACATCGTCGAAGTATCTGCACAAGAAGCCGAAAAGTCAACCTGAGACAGAGCACTTTGGTCCAATCAATCGACGGGAAATTCTAAAACTGAATTAAATTTAGTGTCCAGGTTGTAAGCAATTAACAAGTTACTGACAAAATACAATAAACGTGTTTTATATGGCTCCATGTTTTTCACTAGTGCTTTTATTCAAATTACTTTGAAGGAAATTTGTGTATGAAATAGTGTGATTGCACTGGCTCTTTTCTTATATTTTTATTCTCCCTTAGGATAATTGTTTTCTGTATCTAGAAGCACCAGTACAACGTATCACCGGCATGGATACACCATTCCCGCATATCTTTGAACAATTCTACATACCAGACAAGTTACGATGTTTAGAAGCTGTAAAAAAAGTTATTCATTACTAAAAATTTATGCGATAAAAAGAACTGTGAAAAAAACTGTATCACTGACTACTTATAATTTATTGAGTACTATGCTTAAACAGATGAAATATAGAATATTTCATTTATTATTTTCTTAATTAATTCAATATATTCCTTTTGCGTTCCCAGTAGAACATAGTACCTCAAACTTGAGGTTTGAAGTTTCAGTGTTAGTGGTGTTATTTTTCACGGGGTGGTTTTCTGCTAACCTCACGCCTAACATTCCCTCTATGTCGGAGTTAGGACTGGCTACGGGAGGTAATGCATATTATTATTATTACTGTTTCCTCTCGTTCCTAGAGGAAAACAGGGCTTCAGCCGCACGCCTCCATTGCGTTCAGTTCTCTACCAACGTTTTCACTTGGATCCACGTTTGCTCACATGTTTTCATCATCTCCTCTTCACATGACCACCTCCATGTCACCCTCGCACTGACGACCAACTCGCCACTTCCCGTTCAGGTTATTAATCTCTCTTTCCATTTGTTCATATTAGATTTCAGAATACAAATGTTGTCTCAATCAATGTAGCTTTTGTCGAATGCATGTACAGCTATAAATGAATTTATTTTATAAATTGTTGTAAGCTTAAGTTCCTGTGGAATGACCTTTAGTTAGGCGCTTATGTTCATTCGCTCTCATTTTAAGTGATCTCGATGTTTGACCTATATATTTAGTCGGACACAAATTATTTTGTAAATTACATTTCTAATTTTATCCCTCATTTTTATTGAATCTTTTAGTTAATTTGTTTTATCTTTAACTAGATTCGCTGGTTTAAACATGGTGCGAATTATGAAGTTAATTAGAACACTCAAATAAGTATAACTACTGTGATTAGATAGTTCAAGAGGAATTCTCCAAGCAGCCTTTCCGTTATAGACTGCAGAGAAGACAGTAAAATAGAAATGTTCTTCCTAAGCCCTATATCTCACTAGGAACATTAGGGAATAGTAATATAGGAATGAACTTCATCAATACAATAAGGTATATGAAATCATTTTACGAGTTGATCACTGACTGATATCAGTTAGAGAATTATTGAAAACCAGCACGGAGTACTGGAGAGCTGTTTCATCCTGATTTGGGATTAATTGGTAGTATGCACCCACCGGGGTTCCAACCCAGGACCTTCCAAATACAAGGTAAGCTCGTATATCATCCAGCCACTGAGACCGATTCAATGGCCAGCCCATGAATTCTAACTTCTACCAATTCAGGATTTTAGCGCGACCATCAGCCTCTGTCATCGGCGGGACATCCATCCTCACTCCCAACTGGATGGACCTCACTGGTCACGACTTCTCACCAGAACTCCAGAAAACTCCGTCTTGTAGCAAGTCACTGGCGAGTATAAGATTAATTTTCAATATTTGGTTTCTAAGGATTAGATTTGTATATGAAATTATCAGAAGACTGTTTTGGTCTCCAAAATCCTTGACAACATCCAACGTTGCTTTAGACTTGAAAACTGATATTACATGTGATGTAATGATGTCTGGAGTTGACATGGAAATAGAAAGATTAAAACCAGTGGTCTCCAGGTTACTTGACCATGGTATTATAGACTATGGTACAAGAATAAGCAGTGAAAATTCAGAAAACTGTTTTAAACCTCATTTTGCACTAGACTTCTCATTTTTACTTCTCTTGCCGCCTCATTACAACAAGCATATTGCTTGATCATTCTAATTCTTCTGAAAAATTCCTTACTGCGTTAATTTTATCTGACTGTGCATGCCAAGAACTCCATGAAATGTCTAACCAAATCTAACTCATCAGTGTACAAAATAAAGCAATGATAGAGAATATTATCATCGTGATGGCGAGCTACCTAGAATGGTGGCCACATTGCAAACCTGACTGATAGAATTCAGTCTGCACCAAAGAAAGAACTAGACACGTCACACTAGTTACTAGTGTCCAATTAAACTACCTACTACAGTCCTACAGGACGTCAATCGCGAGCCCGAATAGCTCAATGGCAACGTCTCTGACTTCAGGCGGCACTGGGTGACGTGGGTTCGAATCTCAGAAAGGACATGAGTTCCTTCAAGGTTGTAGATACACTTTGCTGACTAGTGAGTGCCAACTAGCACGAAACCTAGGTCCAAGGCTTCCTGCCAACCGATTGCCTCCAACTATCGAATATTATCATTATCAGATTTGGTTGTCACATGTTTTAATAGCTTTGTTACCGTAACAGCTTTTGACATACAAGTGGAACTAACAACGACTTTTAAGAATAACTCTACAAGTTGTTTTTAGAACTCTGTGCAGTGAAAAATTTATCCTCTAGAGTAGATGTTCGCAAGAACGAAACACCGGCGTTGTCTACACAGCTCTTTCTACCTACTTTTGGGATTCTTCATCAATTTATTCTCGAAATCTCACAACCACTGGAGTCCAGTGCCGTCATGTTATAAGTATAAACTAAAAAGAGAGGAATCGCTCCGTTCTTGTAATCCACCGTCATCAGAAACTTATTTTGACTGGTGGTGACTAACAGTGGAGTCCAAGATGTGCATTTCATCAAATTTGGGACTCTTCATCTGTATATACCTGCATTCTTAATGACTGATGGTATTCCAATCGAAACTCGAACCATGTACTCATCGTTTCAAACTCTAAAGCATTATTCACTGAGCCATGGGGACCACGACAGCCATCACTTGTGCAATAGGTATCAGTTATTGATTAATTATTTTTAGGCTCAACCTCTGTTGAAACGAAGTCTGTGGTGTTCGACTCTCAGTGGTAAAACTATCACTCATTAGGAATGAAGTCATATATAGCTGTGAATCCGCAAATAGGACAATATATGCATCCTGGATTTCTCTACTAGTTACCACCAATCCGAAAACATCACCAAAGCGTCCGCACAAGCAGCCGACATGTCAACAAAGACTTATAAATTCTCAATAGCGTATTTTTATAGTTTATTTATTTGTATATTTTTTCTGACACATCAAGACAAAAATGAACAGCACTAGAACAATATACACAGATGCACAAAATCAAATATTGTTTACCTCAACAAGGACAAATTTATCACAGAATTAATTGATTAATTAATTGATAACAATGATAACGATAATACTGAAAGTCATATACGTGAACACATTTCACAACAGCGATGATTTATTGAATATACGCGGAACAGTAAAAGGAGGTACACATGAACTCTGCTTCAGATGATCAGATGAATACATACCGTGTCAGTAACAACAATCTTCTACACTTTTAAATAGATAAACAATTTTGAAGAATAGTATCATAAAGACAGAGAGAGTTTTCTTCGAATGCGACGGAAACAAAACAACAACAACAACACACACGGAAATGACATGATACCGTATGACTAGTATACAGAATCATCGTGGATAGGTTGACTAATGGAATAACAAAAAATTTATACGATGATTTAAGCTGACTAGTTGAATGGGAATAATTCAAGTATTCGAAGGAGAGCAGAGAATACCAAAAACACACTGACACGCAGAGAGTTAAATTTGCAGCTCATATATATACAATGAACACATGTATGACAGCTTTCGTGAGTGAATCACAGTGATTACATTGAATGAACGTGTGAGCATAAGAAGACGACCAAGCTTTTTAACAGATAATAGAACCTCCACAACACATGCTGCCTGTTGACAAATGTTTAACCACTATCAAAAAAAGAAAAAAACTGAACAAGAAAAAAAGAAAGGATGAGATAAAGAAGTCACCTTGACAATACGATCTTGAAATATCAAAATAAATCTTTATTTTTTTTATATTGGAGTATAATTATACACCACTGGTAGACTTTCTTGGACTTCATGCAAAGATGTTGTAGGACAGAGATAATAATTTTGATCTGTTGGTGAATAAAAAATAAGCGGTTCACAATAAGTTTGTATCATTTGAGTATCACTACTACTATTACTACAACTACTATTACCATTATCAGTAGTAGCAGTAGGCGTAGCCGTAGCAGTAGCCGTGGTGGTGTCTGTTTGGAATTTCGGATAAATCATTGATGATGATGATGATGGATAAGTGCATGGTACACCGACATAATGTCGCATATCATTATTATTATTATTATCAAGACATCTTCTCTCCTGCGATTTGGTCTCTTGTGGTAGTATAATTTTCGCATGATAATGTGGAAGACTGTTGGGCAGGAGATGAGCTGAATCGTTACTGTCGTTATTATTATCAGTATGGTTACTGTAAATGGTAGTATCGTAAGGAAGTGAATAGTAGGCTTGATTTTTAATCATAGATGGTGAAAGGAGATAATCATTAGCGGGGAAATAAGTGACTAGTTGAGGATAGTAATACATGTCGCCATTATAGACTGGATGATGATGGTGCGGAGGTGGAGGAGGCAGAGGAAGAGGATGAATTAAATGCTGGTGGGGATAATGGTGACAACAATGATGACGATTATACTGTTGTTGTTGTTGGTGTTGGTGTAAATGATGACTCAGAAGATGATGATAGTGATAGTGATGATGGTAATAATAAGGAGGATAGCGATGCAATAATGGATAGTGAAGATGACATGTACACTCTGATGATGAATTCTTTGATAAACTGTCAACTGATGCAGAATGGCTTCCATCATCGTCATCGTCATTATCATCATCATCATCATCGACGCCATCAACGCCATCATCATTATCATCGTCTTTATTCTCATTATCTACCTGGTCAGTTGAATTTATGATTACATTATTATTTTCAGTTGGATCGCCATTATCTTTATGAGCGGTATTCATTTTATCTGTCTGTTCATCACTTTCTTCACCATTATTATTATTGTCATCATCATTGTTGTCTTTGTCATGTTCTTCTTCTTGGACTCTTTGCAGTTTCACTTTTAATCCAGTTGTCTTTGAAGTTGATGTGACTGGCTTGTCAGATTTTATAGTTTTTTCACACTTTTCATCAGAATTGGATAATTTATTGGATTTATCAGCAACTTGATACATTTGTCTCGGAAAGTAGTTAGTACCGTAGAACACCTTGAAAGTTGAACAAACAAACACAAAAACAAACAAAATAACAAGTGTTAAGTTATTTCAATTCAAAAAATTAGTAAATCAGACGCCAGTTTATTTGTATGAATTCAGTATTAGCACTTAAACAGCGACAGTTGATTACAATGATATGTTAGAATAGAAGATATCGTTCCAGGTTCCAAGTACAACCAGAAATCAGTATAAAATAATCTATGCTCGTACAACCAAGTACAGGAACTCAACGATACCATACTTGGCCCGTATTCTAAGTCACAGAGACAATGTTAAGCGCGAAACCTATGACTTGCTTTGTTATTAACAACATAATTTTAGGCTCTTTCATTTCTCTCTTATTTTGTATTCTATAGTGAACTCCTTCTTAAACATACTTAGCTATCTAAATTATTAACATTGGCTTACTTTTTTGTACTTTATTCTATTCCTTCTTTTGTGTATCTATTGGTTCTGACTATATGAGCACTATGAGTAGTACAAAATTTTCCTGTCATTAATCATCATGTAATTATTAGTTTTGTGGTTGTTTTTTCTTATTTTCTATACTTTTCGGCAATATTAAACTGACAATCATTGGTTGTGAATGCCATAGTCACCACCTTAAAAAATTTTGTATTATTCAGGATTACTCACACTACCACTACAAACACCACATTAGACCTGACAATAAAAAAAACCTGAGATGTTATTTTATGATTGTTTAGTGTTGTTTCAACAAAATTAACTGATCTTCTTGGCTATAAACATTCTTAAATATCATTTCAAAACTTAATGTATGACTATAGCTTAACTGTCACCATGCATAATCATATCACAGCTTCCACAACCCAATACTGAGATATTATTTATTTATTTTCTTTTCTACTTCTTGGTATTTTTTTCGCATGTTTTTTTAGTATTTTTGTGTTCGTTTTTGTTGTTGTTGCCTTTATATTTATTTTTTTGAAATACTCCTTTTAAATGTTTGATAAAAATTAAAAGCAAATATTGTGGATATGTGCTGAAAATTCCACACTGTACCACTAGTACTGTTTCTGGAATAAAGCAAATTATCATTATTATTATTATACACATGAATACAAGATTTCAATAACATGGAGACAATTTACAGCTTCAATTTAGAAGTATGCACTGAGGATGTTGTCCAGTAAGACAATGTGGAAGCTTGACAACTAAACTATTCAGCTGACATATATATACTGACTGATATATATACAAATTGCCTGATTATATAGATATTACATGGTGCACTACATACTACTGATTCATTCATTTGAGTAGTTGGACAGAATTCATATCAACCTGTAGTGTTTGCTTGCTAACCAGGTCGCAGTGATTTAAACACTTAGTCGCTGTTTCGCTTGTATAGGGTCAAGCTCACATTAGCATGGTTATGCAGTGTGAATCAAATTCTCAATTTTGCTGATTAATTCACGATTTTTCTACAGTCCGAGGAGGTGAAGTTTCACCAGAGGTAACTTTAGAAAACCAAAATCATTTAGATTACAATATGTGGTGGTCTGTTTAACACAATAAATGACTGTATAAAGTGATGAGTTTATGCTTGATTTCTATTCATGGTATCACGTTGATCTCATAGTTATAAACTGAATAATCTTAGCTTGCATAAAAGTCGAAATCTCAGGGATGAATGAGCTCCTTTAAGGATTTTAAAGAGGTCCAATAAATTCCAAACCCCAATCAATAATATAATTCGTGTTTCAGGAAATGCAAAAATTCTACGAATCATCTTTAACTTTCTACAGCATCATCTCTACCTTTGGCTGAAGATCTTATGGGCATTTTGAAGATGTGTGAAATTCGAATCAATAAACTAGTTATTATGTACAACTACAGACTGACTGGATAGTCTGTCGGTCAGAATTCAAATTGTTCAAATATTGGTTGCTTATAGAATCAATCATACTAAAAAACCAATCAGATTTCACCATGATAATAGCTCCTCACTAAGTGGCCCAATACTGTAATGCATAACTAGTCTGTGCTACTTTTTTGTATGACTATTGTAATTACATATTTTTAATTACATAACATCTCATTCGCTCATTTGGAAATGCACATTAGAAATATCAATTTATGAGCCTTCTTGAAATTTGGAGTTCAGGTTAAGGAATTGGAAAGGCAAGACAAACCTTTCTCACTCTGAAGTCAGTCTGCAAAATCTCAGGCATTAAACATAAATAGCAAGACTCAATGAGATTTCACTGGATCACAAACTTGGCGCTCGCATCACGAAAACAATCTCCGCCTTCGCTGGTCCCACACTGAAGATCAGATAGCTGGTTAGAAAGAATGCGCAACGAGAAACTCTGGTAACTAATCAACCAGCAACCTATTGCTCAAAAATATTTTGGAGAAGATGGAAATGAACTGGACACACACTGAGGAGACCGCTGGATGATATCACTTACCATGCCAGAGCGTGAGTGGAATTTGAGTGAGAAATGACGAGTTGGGTGTGAGTCCAACTGTAACATAGAATAGATATTTTGAAGGGGGGGTTTATAGCCTATACGCAGTCGTTGGGTCAGGTAAATTGAACTGCAGAGAGCAGGATTAAATGGAGGTGTGCTGCTGACGCTATATGTTCCACTAGGAATCTAAGTAATTAATAATAATATCACCATTGAAACTTATCTAAAATATTTTTAGTTACTTAAAATGGTTATCAGTAGTACAGTTTGGTATTGAAAATTAATAGATCGAATCCTCAGGACAATAACTATAGTCTTACGTCAAATAAACTAATAAACAACTCTGTTATCAAAAACGAAGATTTGCGGGTATAGAAGCAGTGAAGACGAATAAGAAGAATGAAGAACTCACCTTATCCAATGCCCAATCATTTGATGAAAATTCTTGTAAATGTACAATCGATTGTTTATTATTGTCTTGTTTTTGTTGGTTTTGTTGTTGACGCAGTTGCTGTTGTTGTTGTTGTTGTTCTTGGTCTTCTTCAATGACATCTCGTAGAAACATCTGTATTAAGCATAAAGTTTGTCGTCTTTCATGTGTCATCAAACATATAGTAGAATTTGAGACAACTTCATACAAAATCTAAAAATTAACAATGTAATAAAATAAATTTGAGGGTTAGTTAATTATGGTAAATAAAAGCTTGATATATAAACTAATCATAGTAATAATAATAACAACAGCTTTATTCTAGACAACATCTTAACACATTCTACACAATTTTTAGTGTACCCGTCTGCTCTTTGTACAGGATCTTCGAGTAAAATGGTATTCAGAAGTACTTCGTGTGACGCTGTGTTGTTCCATCCGAAACTATATCAAAATCTCTACGACATATTTTCCTCGTTTCTGTTTAAAAGTGCTTTGCGTTATAGCAGACTAAAGATGTGTGCAAGTTCATCTAGCAATCGAAAAAATACACTTACTTTTTGAAAACATTCTATGAGCTAAGCAAATATTAAATCACCGCTTACTGCAAAAGCTGTTTCGTCCTGGTTTTGGACTTATCACTTGCACTCACTCACCATCTTCCATTTACGAGATAAGTTCGTGGACTATTCAGTAACTGGGACCCGACTCAATAGCTAGCCCATGAAGTCTCACTTCTACTAATCCGCGATTTTAGCGCGACTGGCACCGACCAGTGTCACTGGCGAGTATTTGTACTCACTACCGACCGGATGTATCCCAATGGTCACGACTTCTCACTAAAAGAACTCCAGGCAACTTTGTTCAGTGACCAGTCAGTAGCGAGCACTAGGTTAACTTTCAAGCGTTTGTCTGTAAGGATTTGATCTCAGTGGGTTTATGCTGCCGATGAACCCCAAACTGGGACGAAATAGCTATCCAGTACTTCCTGCCAGTTATCGATCGTTCTCTAAATGATATCATTCTGTGGTCATACTTGAAAAGCAAATCAAATCCTTACAAACATACTCTCTAAGAGTAAATAATATGCACGAAGTTGCACTGAGAATTACGTGTTGTTTGTAAACAATTTTCAAAGTGAAGTTAAATAAAATCGGTTCACAGTCAGTGACCAATGAGCTGAACTTGGAAAGCTAGTCAGAACTGACACAAGTTATCATTTTGTTCTAGCTGAAGTTTAGGCTTCCAGTTATGTTTGAAATCTACAGAGTAAATTTTCTATAGAAATGCATCCCTGCATTCAAACGGAATTCTGAGGACTGCCAACTAAGCGATCTCATGAGTTCTTCCGGTTTTAGTCAGTTGCAGGACGACTGTAGTAGCTACTTTTCTTTTTATTGTGGATTGATACTGGCAGCAGGATGGCTATAAATCAATAGATGAGAGCTTTACTCGGTTTTGAAAGTATTACTTGTAAGAACCCTAGACCAAATGCAAAAATAATATACTGAGGCACATTGTGATGATTTGTACTAATTATGATCTAATCACTAAGTTGAAACCAATATTATTATATTACTATCATTGTTTCCTTTAATTCCTGGAGTAACTTTGGGATTCAGCCTCACGTCCCCGTTGCGTTCGGTTCTCTGCCAACGTTTTCAGCTGACTCCACGTCTGCCCACATACCTTCATCTCCTCTTCACATGACGTCCTCTTCCATGTCACCCTCACACTGACGACCAACTCTCCGCTTCCCATTCGGGTTCCTCTCGAGTGATGGCCCGGCGCGCGATGTCACTTGATCGTTTGTTTTCTCAGAGTATAGCCAATCCAATCCACCTCCATTTCTTCTTGCATATTTGCTGCACAAACATTTCTTGCTTGTTTGGTTCAATCCCAGAGATCTCACCCTGTTGCTGGTCTTTTCTGGCCATCTGATCTTGAGTAGTATTGAGCGAAGATAGCTTTGATGAAGATTTGTAGTTTATTCGAAGTGCCCTTTGTCACGCGCCGGCCAAGTCTCTGATCCGTATAGTGAGTAGCACTGACTGACTTCACATTGGAACTGAAAATCCGGATCTTATTTTTTATGCTGAGTGCTGTTGATCACCACACAAACTTGAGAGAAATGAAAGCTTGCCTTGCTTTCCCAATTATCGTCTTGATATATTCAACAGCTCCGTCTACCTGTAATTGAAACGATGCTTCCCAGATAGGTAGGTAGGTAAGTAAAGGAGGTTGCTTCTTTCAGATTTCTCCCATTTATGCTGGCTGATTGTTGTCTGTTGTAGTTGCTGTCGCTGCTGACCAGGAAACTTCATCAACTGTGTGATTCAGTGTTATTATAATACCTCATAGTTTTATACCTCCTTATAAACTGAACGTCTGACTGCATGCTTAGAAGTGTTCGTCATTTATTTTTAAGTGAATCAGAGTGAATATGTTTTCTTTCAAGTGTAATACAGTTAGAAATTTACAGGTATAGAGAAGATAACTAAATATACTTGTATTTATCACTTGATAAACAGAATATATTTTGAGAAAATTAAAACAGTTAGTCCCTTTGATAAATTTGAATTAGGCATTTAGAAGACAAATTTCGCGAGATAATGTCGTCATTTCGTAGTTTCTCTACAATCGCTTTTCAACTAGCCTGGTTCACAATAATAAAAAAATAAAATGCATGACAATTACTCAGTTATATAAAACAAAAGTTAGCCATCAAAAGCACATTCTACACCGTATCTCTTTCCCTCATATATCGAACATTTCCGATCCCTGTACCCACTATTAAAGGAGGAAATTCTGTAAACTCTACTTCAAACTGTATCTACAAGTTCACCTGCAGTTGTGGTGACACCTATATAGGTAGAACCAATAGAATGTTCCAATGTCGTCGAAAAGAACATGTTCCAAAATGGTTACTAAACCATATCGAAAATCCAAATGCAATCAATCTGAATAGAAATCCATCATCATCCATTGCAAAGCACTTATTATTAATGTCAGGTCACAAAATCAATATTAATGACTGTTTCATAATTATTTCATCATATAACTCTAATTCAAGGTTGGTTATTTAAAGGTGATAGAAGCACTTTGGAGGATTAATCACAAACATCCTAAACTGTATGTGTACAAAAAACAGTAGACTTCAACCTCCACCTACAATGAACTACTTGACCTAATTAAATATGACTGGTCATTAGTATGTACTTTTGTTTTACATAACTGAGTAATTGTCATGCATTTTATTAAATTGTTGTTGTGAACCATGTTAGTTGTAAAACGATTATAGGGGAACTATGAAATGAAATCATCTCACGAAATTTGTCTTCTAGATCCCTTATTCAGAATAGTACGTCAGATGGTCACTCATAGCTTACAGGTGATTTCATAAGTAGGTTCTAATACTTTAAAAGTGGCTTTACTGCGTATCCCAGCTAACAGTAGCGTCGTAGTCGATTGCCATGGTAACTGAATGACAATTCATACTTTTCATAAGCTTTTTTAAATAAAATTTTGCATTCACTTTGTTTTTTAATTATCGGTAGCATTATATTCTTGAACTGAGTTACATTTTCTGCACTTCTATCAGAAAATGTCACTTGATATTGATAACTGCTCAATGTGATGGATTAAATCGAAGCAGTAAATGAAATCTAGCTGGTATATTTTAGTCTATTCACCGAAACACCCTAACACCAAACGGATAAAGTAGGTGGTACCGCTTCAAGAAAGGAATAATGCCATAAAATTACCCGTAATTTAACGGTGTCTGTTATAACAACAAGACATCAAAATATCTCCTATCTAACTTAATATCAAGTCCAGATTGACAAAAGTTCTTGACTGGCACTCAACACAATGCATAAAAGGCATAAATCACTGAACGCAATTGATCAGTAATAATCTAGTAGACATTGGCACAATGTAGACATACAACGCCATCTGCGGGAGAACCTAGGCAAGTTATTAATGATTCTAAAATGAATTAATTTGTCATCGTAGAACTTTGAGTAACAGTGCATAAGTTCAAGCTAGCGAAGTTTGAAAGAGCTGAATTATTCCCAGAGAGAAGAAATGCAATGAAACTACGATAAACGAGTATATAGAGCAGAAAAGTTAATTGGATGAAGATTAGTGAGAATTCAAGTATTGGCTTGTAGGGATTTGGTTGATTGGTTACAGGATTTCATCATGAGCTGACATTGGTTAGAGAACCATTGGAAAACCTGGGAGTCCTAGACAGCTGTTTCGTCCTAGTTTGGGACTCTTCATCAGTACGCACCTCCGGGATTCGAACCCAGGACCTTCTGGTTACAAGGTGAGCCAGCTCGCAGACCATTAAGCCACTGGGACCCGATCCAATGGCCCATGAATTTTAACTTCTGTTAATTCATGATATAGCGCAACCGCTAGCCAATATTTTCGGCGAGTATTTGTCCTCATACCCGACATGCTGCACCCTACTGGTCACGACTTCCCACTAGAATCTCAGGTAACTACCTACCTGAATAGGGCTAGAACACTTATAATGAAAACCAATGAATACATCCCTGTCGATTCCATTTTCTATCATGTCTCCATAAATTAATTCTTAGGATCCTGAAGATTGTAGCTAGGCAGTATACACCTCTTCTGCGTGGCTTAAACCAATAGGCGTCCAAGACTTCATAGATTTGTGTCACTTTTTGTCTGACCACTAATAACTCTTTTTCAGTCTTGACTCATTCCACTTACCACTGCTCATCAGGAAGGGTTATGACTCAGTATGCGCAACATATGTGGTTGTCACTTTAATCAGCGTGGTTATAAAATGTCATTGATTAACTGTCTCTGGTTACCTGTCATTATTATTAGTCATTATATTACACTACGCAACATCCTCATTCCTTCACGTTCCCAGTGGAACATAGGGCTACAAGCTAGAAACTTGAAGTTTCTGTAGCAGTGGTGATTATTTTTTACAGGATGGGATTGCTAGCCCCATGCCTAACCTTTCCTCTTTACCAGCTTTATTACTGGCTTAGCGAGGTAAAGAAGTGCGTCTTCGGCCGGGGATCGAACCCCGGACCACATGCGTGATCGGCGAGCATTCTACCGCTGTGCCACCGACGCACGTGGTGGCTCCGGTGGGGATCGAACTGTAAGTAGAGATCTGTGTCAAAAATAATTAATCAGTCAGTATCTTCCACTTTCCATGATTG